GTGCATTCTTTCCGGCAGCGGTTTTCTATTCTGTTTTTCTATTCTAAACCTTCTGTTTCATCTTTTTTTCCGATGAAGCATATCTATTGGAGACACCTCAAGTGCTTTGCTTTTATACGTAAATGGGATTCAGTGCTTTTTCTTGTTTTATTGCGTCCAAAGTTTCGTTTGGACGCTCGTTGTTGAACTAACCGTTGCTTTTGATTATATTGAACCCCCTTTGGCTGTAACGCTCAAGATTATTCTGCTTGATCTGTTGAAGCGTGCAGAACGTTTCTATTGGTCCAGGATTATCTGAAAGGTAGGTCAAATCACTCATTTTCTTATTTACTTTTTATTACCGCAGATATTTTCTGTGAATATTTGTAACATTTTGGCTGGATAGTGAATCAGGCTCACTATCAGAGGTATGACTGCCTTAGGTATTTGTGATTAATGCCACAACAATACCGTAGATTATTTTTGGATCGATTTGGCTCTCGATAATTTGGGCTACGCGTTACTCTGAGATTTGGTAATCGCTATCCAGAACGAGCGAAGAATCATTTGATTGAACACATACGGACGAGGTCTTTTTTATTTCACTCGGACCAGAACAATCGCGTTTTGGTCGTTACAAGGGTAAGAAAATAGAACTATGCTATCCACTCTTCTCGAACGCTTTCGACTCCGTCAGCCATCGGCTATTGGACGTCAAAATACAAGACCTTCGTAAAGCAGGCAACATAAGAAACTGGCTCATGTCGTTTTTGACTAACCGCACCTTTAATGTGTGTGGGAGACCATGAGTCGCAAACTTAAGTGGTCTCCAGCGGAATCCCATGGAGCACTGTTTTAGGACCTCTACTGTTCCTAATGATCATAAATGACTTGGTACAGGATCTCCAAAATCTTTGCTTAGTTTTGTCTATGACGTCACAATTACGGGCACCGACTTGCAGAGGGATTTAGAGACAGTTCATTGGTGAACTGTTTAGTGGGATTTTCCTCTGATTCTCAACACGTGTCGGTTGTTGACCAACAGATCAAACACATATTTGGTAAACGGTCTACCCTTGCAACATGCCTCACCAATGAGAGACCTTGAAGTTATTATGAACCACGACTTCAAGCCCTAAGCTCAGTGCCTAAGGGCAACGAACAAGGCCAGGGGGAATTGTTTTGCGTATGTGCAACAACCACCAGCAGGCAACCGGAGGTTTTTGTGCCTTCACATAAAACCATTTTTGCCCTCGTTTGGAATATTGTATCCAGGCTTGGGCACTATATTACACGAGGAACATAAAATGGCTGGAGAAGGTGCAGCGTCTGGCCACCCAAATGGCAGCTGGACAGAGGGGTAAAAGCTGCAAGCACAGACTAAGAGATCTCAGCCTCTTCCCGCCCAAATGCAGAACAGTGCGGGGTGACCTGATAGAGACTTTCAAAATAGTGAAAGGTTTGTCAGGGCTCAACCTGGGTGATCTGTTCATCTTAGCCCCTAAGCACTGCACGAGAGGCCGTAAACTCAAGCTGCAAAGAAACCACGCACGACTAGAGATTTGGGCTAACGTCTTTTCACACAGAGTCACACCTATGTGGAATAAGTTACTTGAAGAGTTAGTGAACTGCACTAGCGTCAAAGCGTTTAAAGCAGCACTTTGCTCCTGTTGGACTGAGACGTTCCCGAAGGTTTGTTTCTAAAATAGGTATTCTTCTGGCAGCAAAGGACACAAGCAGATGCAAGCCAGGGGACCTACAATGTAGGGGGCGTCCCTATGTAACAACGTGTACAGTGCGTATTCACCAATAGAATGCTTTCAATGAAGATCTCTTACCAAACAGGCGACAGACAACTTTTCCTTCTTCTTTTACAACACCTGTTGTGAAAACCTCCACAATTGGAAACTATTTTGGTCAAGAAGGAATCTATTGGACAATTGAATACGCAGTGTTGAAAGCAGAGAACCTTTACGCACGACACAAAAAACTGGACGAGCGGTTGAAAAAGAGCCACATTTCGTTCTGTGAGAACTATCATCTCGGTGAAAATCTCCTTCCAAATGGCTCGCACAAAGCAAACCGCCCGCAAGTCCACAGGAGGCAAGGCTCCTCGCAAGAAGCTGGCCACAAAGGCAGCTCGCACATGCGCTCACGCCATTGGTGGTGTGAAGCAACCGCATCACTACAGGCCCGGGACTATCGCTTTCCGAGATACTTGTCGCTCCCAGAACTGAACTGAACTGGTGCCTAGTTTAAATTTTTAGGCTCTCCTCCGTTGGTGACCTTTGATTTTTGACTTGGTTCTTGCGAAATGTTATTTGATATTTCACGTTTGGTTGAAGTTATAAGGCCCTTCTCGCGGGCTTAACACCATTCCATAGTTTTGCTATATTTTACTCTAAATAAATTAAATATTTTTGTTCATCTTGAGCGTCTTGTTCCGTACACCTTGCCCATTGCGTAGCCCCGTTTGTAGGGCTTGTGATAACATATTTAATTGTTTTCCGATTGTCCTAGACATTACTAACACGCCACGTGTGTCCTATCTATGCCTTCATCTATCGTGTGGTAGACGGGTGGTTACAGGCATAGGATGCAGCATATGCAGGCATTAAGCACAACAAACTTTCTCAAAGCTCTCCAACGAGCTACACAAGCTATGCAGCACTTACGGGGATCTTCTGTGGGTCTGCCAAGTTTGCCAAGAGATTGCAAAGTCTGCACTAAAAGACAGTCAGAACTCCTCGGGTAATGTTGGTGACATGCAGAGGCAGACGCTTTGCGTAAGCGAGACGTCACTCAAATCACCACCGTGTCAATCAACCAACGCTGCACGGAAAACGCCACCTAGACATAAAGGTAAAACGTCGATTCGGAGAGGTCCTTTAGATCACTCAACACCCAGACCCAAGATTCCAAAAAGAAGCTTGCAGCGGCCATCAAACTGAACCAGCCATACGCCGAACCCAGCAGAGGATACAAGAAACTACACAAGGTCAATCAACAGTTGTCCCTCAGAACCAAGCTGCTGTGAAAAAAAAATAGTTCCAGAAAACCAACCGCGCATGGTTCAGTTCGTCAGCCGGATCGACGTGCTGGACAATTCAATCGAAACAAGACAAATCCTAAGGGGATGAGGAAAAACAGAGGAAACCCTAAGCTCAAAAAGGACAGCCGAAAAGTAAATCAGTAACCCACAGGAAGTCAATCGGGTGCCCCAGCCGATGGTTTCAAGGCAGCTGTCTGTCGGTATGAGAAACGAGAAATCAGAAATGAGAACTTGGCTTGCCACATGCAAAAGCAGCTCACGGAGATCCAGAAGCTTCACGCGTTCTATGAGTCTACTCTAGGCAG